AGTAGTTGTTAGACGTCGGCCAGACCGAGTGCGGTGGTGAGTGGGAAACCAAACGTGCCCTATGAGGCACCTGCTTCAGGACTGACTTTCCTTTGCCCGGCGACACTGGCCAGGATCAGATGGCCGTGGGTTTAAGGTTTGTCTGAAACCAAAAGGGAAAACAATCATTTTCCCTTTGTTCCTAGCATTTGCTCCTAGTAGCCCTACTAATTAGTATCAGTAGTTGAGAAAGCTGTCAGAGAAGCCGGCTCATTCTGATTTGCGGATTTGTAGCACATTGACCAGGAAGACTAGGTTTGGTTTCAGTGGGTCTGTGTTCCCCAGTAAGTGCTGATCGAATCCACTAGATCCCTTGAAGCCAGACTGCTGAACATGAATGTCCCTTAGTGGTTTAGTCTCCAGCAATACCATTCATTGTCTGCAGGCATTTTCTTGACAATCCCCACTTTTATCGCCTCCCTTTGTGCCTAACTTTGAGAAACATTTTATGTTCTGTTATTTTAGCAATTTTCAGAATGATGGGTTCATGTCCCAGCAGCCTCTGAAAGCAGCTAGTGAGGTTTAAGTACCCTGAGCTCAACTCGTGTGTGTTTGTGTTTCATCCTGTTGTATTTATCTTTGTGGCCAAGGGAATCCCCCTGAAGCTTGCTCCTGCTGTCAGAGACTCCAGTGGTCTTTGATGTCGGGCCTTATCTTCATTTTCTCAGACCTGGAACGGAGCGCTGGTTCCTTTTAAGAAGAGAAGGGTAGAGACCACAGTCTGGTGAGAGCGATGCCCGTTGATACTGTCATTGTTTAGCTGCCTTTGTGGATCATGGGCTCAGACTCTTTGGGGACAGAGCCAGAGGGGAATCGTACGAGCACTTGGAGGCTGACTGCAAGACGCTGCTTTTCATTTGGTGTCTTAACCTGTAAGCCTGGGTCACGGGTGAGAACACAGAACTGGGACTGTCAGCCTCAACCAGAGAACCAAACGGGTCACTGCAGCCATTTGGGGGGAGCAGATGGGGCTGTGGAACCTGGGTCAGGAGAGTGACGGAAGGGGTTTATGGTGGGGCGTCACAGCGCTTGCAGAAGCTGCTGTTGTTTGGACAACTAGTAGCTTGAGGAGGGAGATAAACATTGTCTAGGGTGTGTGGGAGGGTTTATTCGAGAAGAAAGGTTTGAGGGTCACAAACATGCACCGAGCCTGTGAATCAAAGGTAATCTGGGCTCTGGAGATAACGGGGTTAAAGTCATTCCAGAAAGTTGAGGCTACCTTCCAGCCAGTGCTCACCAAAGAGCCAGTTGCGCTCTGACTCACAGACTTGGCAGCAGAAGTCCTGTGTTAATGCTGAGAAAGTTTCAAGCGCTGGTTTTGAGAAAAATTTTAGAGCCTCATCTGCTAAGGGTGTACTTTTCTTCCTAAACTCCTTGATCCTGTGGAAGACTCGAAGGCTGCGTTTGTCTTTTGTTCCTGGGCTGGAGTTTCTGGCATTCTTTTTTAAAAAACGTTTGTGTTCTGCAGGCCTAACGTGTAAGTCCTACCCTTGGGGAGAGGCAGAAAACAGGACTCAGATTCTGGTGCTGTTACTTAACTTCCACTTGAAAGAGATAGGAAGAATCTAAACATCTGGATGAGTGCTGTATCCCAAAGTTCTAAGGGTTTAGGATTAGTCAGTAAGCAAAACAAGACGTTCGGCGCCTCCAGTCAACATACCTCCTCAATTCCCCTGAAGGCGACCAGGAGCTTCGTGGATGTGAATCTCCAGAAAACTGGGCTCACCAGCCTCGGGCCAGGGGTGAGACGCAGGACCGGCCCCAGCACGAACTAGCTCCCAGCCCCCTAGTCCAATCTGCTGAATCCCCCACCTTCCCAGCGGCCCCTCCCCGTCCTCCCGTCCCCACCAGGTAACAGCCTGGGTGCTGACCTCCTTACCGCACGGTTCCAACTCACCTGCAGTGGTTTTTAAAAACTGCACTTTGACCTCCGGCTGCAAAGCCGTAGATAGATTGGCAAACCAACTGGTATACCCACACTGTTGAGTGCTACCTGGTAATAAAGAGGAACGAGTGTGGATGAAAGCAACAGACAGACAAGGGTGAATCGCAAAAACATACCAAGCAAAAGGAGCCAGACAAGAAAGCGCGTCTACTAAATGGTTTGATCCACGTGAAACTAGAATCTGGAGCCGAGAGTTTGGTTTAAACTCAGGACCAGTGATGGGTGTGGGGAGGTCGCCTGAGAAAAGGTGTTTGCGTAACTAGACGTTCCTCAAACTCCAAGCACAATTAAAACACATATTTAAAGACTTTACGTAAATAGTGCCTTTTACCAGGCCTTTGTGGCCGGCTACCCATTGGCCTGGGAGGGCCCACAGGGGCGGTCCAGCATTGGCCATTGGCACCCTCACCTGCGACCCCTCCCCTGGCTAACCCCACCCGTCACCCAGCCTTTTGCTACTTAACAGGCACTTGACATCTGCCTGGAGTATTCCTTTCCCCAGATGACACTCAGCTGACTGGCCATCTTCCCCAGCTGAAGTATGTTTTAGAGCAGGGAACTCGGCCATCCTTAGCCAGGGTCTCACACCCAGGAGGACCTCAGTAAACAGTGACTGGATCCATGAGAAGTGACTCCCAAATACAGGGGCACATGTTAAATGCCATGTGAGCATAAGTTTAGACAACATTTCAGATGCATGTGTGTTACATGGGTACACAGGAATTGGGTGGAGGGGTGAATGTTGAGGAAAAAGGTAAAACGAGGGGATTTGGAGTCAAAAAACATTCTGGTTAAACCTGCTCTTCATACATTGAGAATGACCCTGCCTGTCTACTTCATGGAGTGGAGAAACAAGTGTGAAAATAACCCGGAAACCATGGTTAGCGTTATTAATAACAAAAGCTACAGCCTTTGCAGCCTGCCTTTTGTCCCTGACGTCACTCAGCAGCCCGCCAGTGAGCCGCCACCGTCCTAGGCCGCAGTTTGCAGACGGGCAGCACAGTCTCAGGCTTGCTGGAGCTTCGGGGTTCAAGGCAGCCCTCAAATGTGGGACCTCCAACCTGAGTGTATACTCTTCCTCTTGAGTGGGCGTTCTGGTCAGTACTTTAGTGACAGTCTTATTTGTGAGACAGGCAAATACACTTCTGTCTGAGCGTCGAGAAGACGGCAGGCATTTCAGAAGAGTGATCCACACCATGTCCCTTGCACATGGATGTGAAAGGGACGGGCCAGACCAGACTTGAAGAATGAGTCATGGTGGGGAGACACGGCAAACACCCCACTCGGGGCGAACCACCTCTCCACGGGTCTGTCGGGCGTTCTTCATATAAAGCAAGATGGATGGTGGCAGTGACTCAGGTCCCAGCGGGGCACTTCTGTCCATCTGTGTGTTTGGGGGTTGCACCTCTCTCCGGACAGCTGCGTTTTCTCTAGGACTTGGGACTTACTAGTGACCGCAAGCCCGGTTCTGGCCATGAGGATGTGGGAGTAAATTCAGCCCCTCGCTTGACACAAAAACTTTCCCCATCACAGGGCGGCTCATTTTGAAAAGGTTCTCTACACTTAGGTCCAAGGCCAAAGCAGAGGCTCTGTGTCTAAGGTAGCCTCTGCCTGGGAAGGGAATGTGAAACAGCTTGCAGAGAGAGGCCTGGTGTTTGGGACAATCGTTGCTATTTCACATTTTGAGATTCTAGGCAATAGCAGTGTTGGAAGGCACCTTAACCTCAGTCTACACACCGGTGAAATGGGAACGTCAACCACAACCAATGACGCAGGGAGGTTTGAAATCCAGTAGCCCGGATTCCTGGGTTTTGCTTTGTGGGCTTGAACTCGAGCTTCTTTCGTACTATGACCTTTTCCCCTTAGCGTCAGACCAAACAGCAGAGTCTGACTGGGGGGCGGGGAGGGGGGCTCTAGGGTGAGGCAGTTGCTTGTAACAGGGACATTTGGAGGTTGCTGGGAAGGAGAGGAGTGGTGTCTCTGAAGGGGCAGAGGCAGTGAGAACAGAAGTTCTGGGGCGGGGGTCGGAGTCCTGGTTAAAGGAGGCAAACTGCTTAGCCTGCAAAGGGAAGCCAATCTCCATCCAGAGGCCGCAACTGGGCCTGGAGTGATCGCTGACCAGAGTTCTGCAGGCCCCTCTGGGTCTGTAGCCGGCCCAGGGTTGCAGTGAAGCGTCGCGGCCGCTGGGTGGCGGCCGTGCGTTTCCAAAGCTGGCTCGCGGACCCGAGAGCCCAGCTGGAATCCCGTGCACCCAGCCAGGAGCCCCGGAGGGGTAGTCGGAGACACCTTGGAGACCCCTCCCCCCTCAACCTCACAGGGTTCTCTGCACTTGTATCCAATGCAGGGAAGGGGAGATTGGAAGGGGAACACTTAGTGCGGTCAGCTATCCTAGAAGGCAGCTGGAACATGCCACGATCCTGCGTGGAATCACGGGGTGGGTGAAAGCGATTCCCCTTAAGTGGAGCCGCCCCGGGGGCTGGGCCTGACCCGCCCCCTCCTCGCTCCCCCACTCTGGCGTTGGTGGGTGTGAGTGTGACTAGCGAATGTGGGCGAGCGAGGACGTTCCACACCTAACTGCGTTCTTGGAGACCACCGCCTGCCCAATTCGGGCAGCGTTTGCGCCTCGGCGCGGGTCTTCACTCCCTGGCGCAGAGCTCCGACGGCTTCCAACGCTCACCAGCTCCAGACTCGCGGGCTCTGCCCCTTCGGAGCTGCCGGTCCCATCGCCGAGAGTCTGAGCACCTCCCTCCAACCGGAGCCGCCAGGGGAAGAGGAGGAGGCAGTGGAGAGGCCACGGAAGGCAGGCAAGCAGGCAGGGCCGCCTTTGATGTGGGCGAGGCGCACCCAGGCGAGCTGAGCGCCCGTCCGGCCGCGCCCCGAGGGGGGAGCCCCCAGGCCCCGCATCCTCATTGTGCCGGCTCGGGCCCGGGCCCGCCCCCGGCCCCCCGCCCCCTCGCCGCCCGCGCATAGAAAACGCCCCGGCCGCCGCCAGTGGTGGGAGGCGGCGATGCGCACGGCCAGAGAGACGCGGAGGAGGAGACATGAGCCGGCGGGCGCCCAGACGGAGCGGCCGTGACGCGTTCGTGCTGCAGCCGCGCGCTCCTCCGGCCCTGGAGTGCTGACCCCTGGCCCCGCGCAGCCCCGTGTCCCGGCTGGAGAGCGCGCCCTAGGCTCCAGTCTCGCCACGCATGCTGCCCCCGGAGTGAGCCGGGCAGCCAGCCTCCCGCGGACGCCCGGACGGCCGGCCGGCCGGTAGAGAGCAAGCTTCCCCGCACCAGCCTCCTGCACAGCCCGGAGGGCGCAGCGCTCGGGAGGAGCCGCGCGGGGCGCTGATGCCGCAGGGCGCGCCGCGGAGCGCCCCGGAGCAGCAGAGTCTGCAGCAGCAGCAGCAGCAGCAGCAGCCGGCGAGGAGGGAGCAGCAGCAGAGGCGGCGGCGGCGGCGGAGGCGGCGGAGGCGCCCGGTCCCGGCCGCGCGGAGCGGACATGTGCAGGCTGGGCTAGGAGCCGCCGCCTCCTCCCCGCCCAGCGATGTATTCAGCGCCCTCCGCCTGCACTTGCCTGTAAGCGCTCGCGCACGGGGCTGCCCACCCTGCCCGGCCGTCTGTCCGTGTGCCCGCGGCTCTGCCTGCCCGCCCCTCTGACTTTCCAACAGTCTCTGTCTGTTAGCGCGCCCCCCTCTTTGACGTCCCACTGACCACCTCTCCCTCTTTCTCCCGCAGGTGTTTACACTTCCTGCTGCTGTGCTTCCAGGTACAGGTACGTGGGCTCCTGACTCTGACCTCCCCGGGCCCTGCCTCGCGGTACACGCCGCGCCCCCTCCCTGGGCCCCACCCCTCCTGGGCGCGGAGCCTAGTGCACCTGTTCCCAGGGCGCGGAAGGGCGGCTCCGCGCGGCGGCGGGGGACCGGCCAAGGGCTGGGGGCTCTGCTGCAGGGCTCGGCCTCTGCCGGTCTCTGCCGGCCTCTGCCGGGAGCCGATCCCTGGAGCCGGCGGGCTCAGCCGCGGCAAAGTGTCGGCTCCAAGCCCCCGGCCCGCAGCCGGTGGAGAGTTGAGACCCAGGGATTTTTTCTGCTAACCGTCCCTTAACAAACCCGATCGCTCTTCCGAACAAAAAGGCTCTTTGCAGCGGAGTGGATTTTGAGTCCAGGGATAGCTAGCTTCAGTTGTAAATTACTCTGTGGTTTCAAAGGCGCTTTCAGCATTGAGAGAGGGAGAGACAGACAGACATGCGGTACTAGGGGAGGTTGGGCTGAGAAGGTGCAGAGTCCTGCGCCGAGGGGCTGTTCCCCGGGAGGCCGCTCCCCAGCCGGCGGCGCTCCTCACTCCCTCGGCCAAGGCGGTGCAGCCCTCGGCTGGTTCCCGGCCTCGCTCCCCGCTAGCTCGCTCGCTCTCCGAGAATCAGAAGAGGGCTTGGCGCTCAGCCTGGAAAGCACTTGCTAAAATCTGATCTGTTACTTCAGCAGCTTTCAGACTCGGGAAGGTCTTGGCACGCAGACAGTTGGAACACTCCGGCTTCCAAAGCCGTGGAAATGAAGGAGGGGGGAGGTGGAGAGAATAGGGAAAGAGGGAGCCGACTTCAGCCCCGATTAGAACCAGACCAGGGCCGCCTGAGCACGGTGGTGGGGAGGGGGGCAAAGGGAAAGGGAATAGGAAGTGCCAGCTGCCCTAGCCCCCACCCACCTAGAGCTGCAAGGGAGGGGCTGTCGGAGGAGCTGGACTGGGGCCAGAACAGATGATCTGCCCAGTTCCCTCTGGGCTGCAGGCAGGCAGGTGTCCTCACAAGGTTAGAGAGGATGCTTTGGCTTCAGACTTCTGGGTTCCAGAGGTGCTGGAGAGGGCCCTGGGCAGGGACAAGGAGGGTTCACCGCCTCCCAGCGCCAGGCAGCTGTGCCTACTGAGAGCTGCCGACACTCGGCCCCTCTCCCAGTGTGTGTGGTGGTGGTGAGTCTGCTACACCCCCTCCCACTTCTGGAAGAGGGCTGTTCCCGGAGCTGGGGACAGCTAGTTGGGGCTGGGGGCTGGAAGACAGGCAGGATGGATGGATGGATGGACAGACTGATGGGTTCTTCCCTCCTGTTGGCCCGGCTGGGGTCCCCAGTGACTCCTTGAATCAATACAACTGGAGTCAGTAACTTAAGACTGGCTGTTTGCCAAAGCAGATGTGACCCTGTGCGGGGTGGGGGTGGGGGAAAGGCTGGTGCCGGGGGAACAGAGGCCAGTGCCAGGCATGGCCTGCCTGGTTTGCAGCTGAGTCCCCAGGCAGAGGGCAGGCCCCAGGGTCACTGCGAGGGATCTGCCTGTCTGACCTGGGCAAGCGCTGTCCTCCTGAGGGCTGGGCCTGGGGGGCGGGCGGTGACGTGGGGGTGCAGGTGGAGAGGCGGCTACAACTGTGCTGCCCAAGCTTCTCGATGCTTGGTGACTCTCGGTCCTTGAAGGGGGCCCGGCAGGGGTTGCGTGTGGTCTCTGTGTGTTCTCTAGGGGAGTGTGAGGGAGGCAAGCTGGCCTCTGCATCCCACCTCCACCTCCTTGGCCAGAGCCAGAGCCAGCCTCCCGGGGAAGAGCTGGGTGGTCTGTCTGGGTCCCGTCCATCTGGGTTAGGACTTCGAGCAGGTGAAGGAGCCCCCTCTCCTACCTCCCCTTCCTTTGCAGAGTCCCCCATTCAGACGGCAGTAGGGCGGATGTTTTTAACCCATACACACTTGGAGTGTGTACGGGCGGGGGGAGGGGCCCTGAACCATGGCGCCCAAATGGTGCTGTGCCTGGGAGAGGGTTCCCAGCTCCCCTCTGATCTTCAAAGGCACCTAGGATTCCTAAAAGATACAAAAACACCACCGTGGGGTGTTAGGGCAAGGTTGGCAGGCTCATGCCCCCCCCCACTGCCTTTGTGCTGTGGGGACAAAGGCAGAGTGGCCACGACAGGTAGAGACGAGGAATCTGAAGTCTTCTCCCCACAGAGGGGTGTGGGGCAGATACTGGAGAGAAGGTAGGTCCTGGGCAGGGGGGCTTCCAGGTGGCAGTGAGAGGCTCCTTGGTGGGCTGGCCTAGAGGCTCCAGCCACCCGTGGGAGTGCTCGGGGCTGTGCCTTCCGGGGTGCTGGGCTGAGCCCCGCTCCCACCTTCCCTGTCTGTAGACCCCTGAGAGTCTTAGGTTCATCATTTGTGAAACAGAAACTGTTCGATCCGTGAGAGGTATGCAAGAAGGTTTATAAGTCCTCCTCCGCCCAGGAGGGCACAGGGTGGCACCTTGGCCCTTCCCCACCCCTCCCCCGCCCCATGTTTGGGGAGACTGGTCCAGTCCAGTCTGAGCCCTAGAGTCTGCTCTGGGCTCCTCCTCTCTTCTCATCCATCAGCCCACCCGGCCCAGAACGGCGCCCCCGCCCCTAGCCACATTTCCCTGAGCACAGTCAATGCCAGACACCACCCCCTCCCCTGTGTGGTGAGCCCCGCCCTCACTGCCGGCCACCCCGGGGAGCGGGAAGCTGAGAATTTAATAAAATCCCTTCTCCACACGACCCAGGACACCGCGATAGCTCAAATCAGAAGAATTTTAAAAATTTCCAAGGGGAGCAAGCGGCGTGACCAGTAAAATTGCTTTTCTGCACTTGGCTGAGCGCTGACAATGACACCGGCCTGGGCCTTTCACGCGGCGCGGTGGCACCTGCCCGACCTTGTTCCCGGCCTTCCCTGCCCAGGCCAGGCCGAGGCGGGCCGGGGCAGGGGGCCTCGGCTGCCGCCCTGTCCCTCCCGCAGCGCCGCTTCCTCTCTCCAGGCCCCGTGTGTGCTCAAGTTTGGAAGTTTCCTTGCAAGCCCCTCTCCCAAACCACCCCCACCCCTGCGCCCCGCCCTTCTCAGGGCCTGGAGGAGGATGGGAAGCTGCCCTGCTGGACAGCACTTCTCATTTCTTACAGAGGCCGAACCCTCTGGGAGTCTGCTTCCTGCAGACCCTGCAGGCGGCCTGGGTCTGGGGTCCCGTCCCTCGCTGGCCACCAGGGCCCTGCTCCGTGGCCCTGCGCCCCAAGGCTGGGAAGTGTAGTGGGGGGTGGGGCGTGTGCTCCTGCCTAACTCAGGTGGGAGAAGCCACCCGCCTCAGGTCAAAGGGCAGTGGGCAGAAGGTCCCAAAGCAGCCCGTTGCATCAGAAGCATGTCTCGTTCTTCCTTCTGAAGTCAGAGGGGGTGACATTCTGAGGTCACAGATGGAGAAACTGAGGCACAGAGCAGGGAAGGGATGTTTGCTCAAGGCCGTAGCTAAGACTCTAGTGGATTCAAGCTCTTATGTTTTTTTCCCACCACTCCAAGCAGGCATTTTCAGAAAGAATAGGAAGTTATTCAGAAGGAATACTGGTGGGGAGAAGGGTTCCCAGGAGACAGGCAGGGACCCCCCCCCCCCCATGCATCTGTGCAGGCGGGGGCTGCTCAGGGCCCAGGCAGGCGTCTCTGTGGTGGAGGACGCCTGACTAGGAGTCCTGCAGACTCTGGCCGTCCTGGAATGTCCTGGTCTGAAAGGGCCTTGGAGCCAGTGGTGGGTATTTGGGGGGGGGCGCTGGGGGGATTCAGCACCCCCCTCCAACTTCTTTCCCAGCACAGAGGGGGAGGGGCGCCCTGCCGACATTCCTGCTGCATCACCTGCTCTGAGATAAGAAGGTGGATTTTTAAAATGTCTTGTGGTTAGCACCGCGGCCAGGGTCAGCAGGCTCGGGGCTGGGTGTTGGGGTCACCTCAAAGCCTCCACCCTGCCTTGGGCACATGGGGTCCCCAGAAGGAGATGAGGGGGGCAAGGGGGAGACTACGGTCCTCAGCAGGACCTTCGGCTCTGACCTTGTCCTCCAGCAGCAATGTTGGGGGTGTGGGAATCGGAGCGCACACACGTCAGGCTAACAGGACACGGCCTGCCTCCGCCGGGGCCACAGTGAGAGGGGACAGGGTGTCATGGCTCTGGAACCCCGGCTTCTCGCACAGCAGTGGGAGGGCTCTGGAGCCTGCCAGCCTGGCTGAGTTGGCTGCTCTGCCTTGTCTTTGCTGGGTGACCCTGGACGAGTTACTTAACCTCTCTGGGTCACAGCTGCTGCACACGTAAGATGGGAAGAAAACAGCCCCTACTTCCCAGGGGTGCAGAGCAGGGGCCAGTGCATCTGCGTTTCAGACCTAGCTCTGGGCCTCTCGCCCTGGTTGGACTCCCTGCCATCGGCCCCATGTCCATGTGCTAAGCTCCCCTCGCCCAGGGCGCTGCCACCTCCTGGTGACAAGGAGAGGGGCCCCTCTTGCTCTAGCCAGGCTTGCAGGGAGGGGCCAGGGGATATCATTTGCTCTGATGTGGAAATGGCATAAGGCCTCAGGCCCATTTAAAATGCTTCTGTGCCAAGGACAGAGCCCAGGACAAGCCTTCCATGGGCCACAGAGCAGAAAAACTCTCAGGATCCCTGGGACTGTGGCTCATTGGACAACCTCCCTCTCTCTGCCTCGGTTTACCCACCTGGGTATTAGGTGAGCGAGGAGGCTTCTTCCACACTAGAAGGCATGGGCTTTGGCACAGGAGAGACCTAGGTTTGCTGGGAAGCTCTGCAGCAAATAGCTGAACCTTCAACCCTCTGCACCTCGGTTTTCCCCATCAGGAAGATGGGGTGACTAGAAGTACCTAATTCTAAGAGTGATTGTGAGGGCTGCGTGGGGTAATGCACGCAGAGTCGCTGGCACCGTGGCCGACACTGAGTAAGTGACTGGGAAACATGATCGCACGTCAGGTGTGTAACATGTGGCAGGC